ACAAAATAACTGTTTTGCCATCGGGACATAAGAATGGCTTGACAAATAAAAATGAATGATGAACAAACCCTATATGGTCATTTCAGGGACACAGAAAAATAATTTAACAAAATTTCATATCTTTCTATTTCAATTTTGAGACAAGATCTCACTACATAAGCCAAGCTCATCTGCACATTCCTATGTATAGTTTTGCTTGCCCTCAAAGCGTGAACCTCTTGCCTCAACACTCTGACTGCAAAAATGACAGACGTGTACCAACACACCTGGCAGATATTTTCCTATTAAGCACTCAGCAAATTAGGGACAGGTAGAACAAACCTCAGTACAAAAAAGGTTCTAATTTTTTAACTGCTCTTGTTTAGTTCCTTTATTAAAGTGTTTTCCCATATCTGTTAGTACAAATCTTTAAAAATGTTCCCCTAATTTTTTTATTTATTTTCTTTGTATTTATCATCCTTAAGCAGCTGTCCAGTACTATTTCAATTCAATGTATTAGTTTGTTAGTGTAGTATATTTTGATCAGTGTTACTTCTTTCATTATTCTTCCATATATCTTCCATCCTCATACATCTCCTCAATTTACTTGGCTCCATTTTCACATATTGGACTAAGCTTTTTTCCATTGAAAATTCAGACTTATTATGGTTCAGGCTGAATCCTTCTGCATCTTTATAAAAACATCCAAATTTTCCAAAGAATGAATTTATTAGCATCAAATTAAAATAAACACATCTTCCAACCACTTTCAACTCAAGGGAAACACAGAAACCACCCAATAAAATGTCGAATATTATTCAGCACCCTGAATTTGTGTTACTCATTATTAAATGCTAATCATATTTACTTTTATACATGAGAATAATTTCTCTAAATCACACCAATGAATTTGCCAACTTATAGAAGAGTTATGTAGAAAAACACTACAGTATAATTTTTCTTACATTATGAAATGACTTTGGGTCTTTGATGCTTTCTGAAAAGGAAGTAATTAACCATATTCACAGTCTCAATTTATTTGAAATAAATTCTTCCCCTTCTGTTAGAATGTTGGAAGCATGTTGCACTGTGTGCAACACACCCACAAAATCATACTCTTTGATACTTTAATTGAATACTTCAAAAAGGAACACAATGTCAAGACTGAACTAGAACTTTGATTATAGGAAATAAATCAGCTCAGCAAATTTTTGGAATAAATAATCAGCATATGAAACTTGATTGCATTGTCTATCTAGTAAACAAATGAGGTAAAATGAAATTAGTAAAAAATTCCATTTACAGTCACAACAAAATTATTTACTACTGAAAAATCAACAAATGTACAAATTCACACTCTGAGCACTAAAGAACCATCTTGAAGGAAGTGAAGAATAGTCAAAGAGTAAAATGGACCACAGGTTGAAAGATTTACTGTTAATTCTTTGAGTATTTGTTGTTGGGGATTTAATTTTTTTAAGTTCTAAGTATATTTTAGATATGAGACCCTTGTCTGTTGTTTGGCTAGTGAAGATCTCCTCCCAATCCCTGAGCATGCTGTTGATCTTGCTAGCTATGTTCTTTGCCATGCAGGAGCTCTGCCATGCAGTTTCATGTGATCCCATTTGTCCAAACTTTCTTTGATTTGTTGTGTTTTGGGGACTTTATTAAGAAAATTTCAGCCTGTGCCAAGAAGCCCTAGACATTCTCCTATTCCTTCCTATAATGTTTTCAGGGTATCTGCTTTTTCTTCGAAGTCTGATCCATTGGAGTTTATTCTTGTGCAAGGTGATATATAAGGGTCTAGCTTTAGTTTTCCACAGGTGTTTAACCAATTTTGTCAGTACTACAACCTCCCGATTAATAAGTGGGCTAAAGAATTAAAGAGACTTTTCTGAAGAGGAAATATGAATGGCCAATAGACACATGAAGAAATGTGCAACTTCTCTAACCATAAAAAATGCAAATCAAAACAACAATGAGTTTCCACCTCATCCCAGTTAGGATTGCTATAATCAAGAAATCTAACAATAATAGAAGCTAGAAGGGATGTGGCCAAAAGGGAACCCTATTTCATTGTTGGTGGGAGTGTAAAGTTGTTCAGCCACTCTGGAGAGCATTATGGAGGTTCCTCAAAATATTATACATAGAGCTCCCCTATGACCCAGCAATCCCACTTTTGGGCATTTACCCAAACGATCACAAACAAAGCCATCCTAAAGCTATCAGCACAACTATGTTGATCGCATCATTATTCAACATAGCTCAGATATGGAACCCACCCAGATGCCCCTCAGTAGATGAATGGATCAAGAAAATGTGGCACACACACAAACACACACACACATTCAGACACACACACACACACACACACACACACACAATGAAATTCTATGCCTCCATCAGAAAGAATGACACCACTCCATTTATTAGGAAATGGAAAGACTTGGAAAAATTATGTTAAGTAATCCAGACCCAAAGAAACATAGGTCCCATGGTTTCCCTTATTTGAAATAACTAGTATATGTCTAGGATAATCTTACCAGATAAGCAGAAAAGATAAAAATCTATGTACATATAACCATATAAGATGATGCTAAGTGAAATGAACCCCAAGATATAGACACAAGGGGTTTTTTCTTTGTTACTGTTTTTAATGTACTATGTAATTTTTTGGTTTCTTTTGTGTGTTCTTCCCTCTACGGTATAACCCCTGTTGTCACTGTATTTGATTCTGGTGCCCTGCATTTTGTATATACATTTTTCTAATTTGAGGAGGGGAAGGGAAATGTCAAAATGCTGAAACAAGGATACAGGTTGAATGAGATGTTCAAGATAGTATGTTGAAAACAAACTTTACAATTTCAGGGGAGGGAGGAGTTAGGGAGGTAGGAAGGGAAGCAATAATACGAGAAAAACAACATAGGGGGTAACAGTGCTCAATAGGAAATGTACTCACTACCTTACTCATGTAACTGTACAGTATATGAGCATTCTATCCTTGTACAGTATCGTTACAATAAAATATAAAAAATAAATGTATTAAACTTTCTTGAAATTAAAAATCACCTAAATGAAACTTGTTGCTTAACATATATTGTGAAAAAATTAAAAGGCAACTCATTTAAAAGGTAAAATAACATAAACTCTTGTAAAAATAAACTTCAATAATAAAATATGACAATCCAATTTCTATTTTTAAACTTTGATATTTTATTGTATTTACTTTATTATTATTATAAGATGATGTACAGAGGGATTACAATTACCTGAGTCATATAATGAGTACATTGTTTTGCACAGTGTCTTCCTTTTTCTCTTTCTCTAGTCCGTTTTACCCCTTCCCTCCCTAGTTTCTCCCATGAGTTTTATAGTTCACTTTCATCAGTGTCCAGTGAGTTTCACTGTTGCACTTTTTTACCCTTGGTCCCTCAAGTTCTGTGCCTTCCCTCCTGAAGATATATGTGAATACACCATACATACATAAAGAAAAGAAGACAAAACCATCAAAAAAATAAAAATAAGAGTGTGAGGCCTTTATTTCCATATCTAGGTTTATTTTGATATATATATATGTATATATATGTTTTATAAGTATAAAAATCACAGTCATTACTTCTCTGTATTTCTCTCCTAAGAGTATTTTCTTTTGATCTCAGTGTGAGTATCTAGAATCTTATAGTTCTCTCTAATATGTGGAAATTAGATCTAAATTACACTGGGATATGGTAAATTTTAATCCAATTTCTAATGAGCAATCAACTAAGTTCACTTTTTCCTGGAAAATAGATTGAAAGAGCCAGGAAATATGAGACAAGATGCTTAATACTTAGCTATCAGGACATGGAAAGGGATTACAACTAGGTACCCTGTCACATATTTGAACAACATTGTTTTACAAGAGATAATAAAAATATTTGAAACCAGGCACTGCTGGTTGAATATAAAACACTATTTCTCGAGCAGACAATAAGTAGAATAAGTAGAAAATAAATCTGTTGCAACAGATAGATGGTCTGACAATTCTTCACACAGTTATGCATAGTGTCTCCTTAAAATTTATTAATACCCTTTTAATTACATTCCAAAATTGATGAGAGCATATTTTCATAAATATTTAGACACATATATTTATAATTATATAACATCATAACAGAATGATCCAATATCAATATCCATCAACTCATGAATTGATAAGCAAAACATACTTAACCTCCATACTAGACTATGAAATAGCAACATAATAAATCAACTGCTGATATAGTTAATGTTGATGGATTTGAACACAGACTAATAGAAACCACTCAAAACTAAATATTATCTATCAATTAATCTGAAAATTTATATACAATGAATACATTACAGAAAGAAAACCTAAAATATATAACAATGCAAAACAAATGATTTTATTAACATTTCACCCTACTAGGTGAAAAGTCAATGGCTAGAGATAAAATAATAGTAGGAATTAAATCCTACTATGAAAATATTCATTCTAGCACACAATAATAAAGCATTAATAAAATGCTTCTCTTTTATCCATCTGATAGTTGCATCCATTATTATTTATCAAAATTACTTTCATAATAATCTATAAAAATAAGAACCTATGGTTGAATAAATAATTGATTTTCATTTGAATAAGATAATAAGTCTGATATGTATCTTCCACTAAGTGTGAAGTTCTCCTCTAAGATTAAATGTAATATATACCTAAACAACACAGCTTTAATCTCTGCATTTAATGAGGTATTATTAATGGGCGGGCATCTCTCATCTGCTAAAAGTAATATAAAATACACTATACAATTATGTGTTTTCTACTTCAATGAATATTTACAGTGTACTACAATGGATAATTCACAAAAGAATCCTCATCAACAGGAATTCAAATGGTTTTCCTTTTCTTAATCTCATGTGGTTGCTATAAATTTAAGGATAAGAAAATATTGCATGCTGGATTGCATTGATTCTGTATATAAATATATACATAATGTTGGAAAAAAGGAGCCCAGTGACCACTAGACTACTCCCTCTCCAGATTTGCCTTTCCCTAATACCTTCATGAAAGCTCTGGTCACCTCTCGGTTGCGGAGGCTGTAGATAAGGGGGTTCAGCATGGGCGTGAGGATCGTGTAGAAGGCAGACACCATCTTGTCCTGGGTGGGTGAACGCCCAGAGGCCGGCCGCATGTATATGAACATGGCTGCACCATAGTACATTCCCACCACCATGAGGTGGGAGGAGCAGGTGGCGAAAGCTTTGTGGCGACCCTCCCCAGATCCCATGCGGATGACAGTCACAATAACACGCACATAAGACGCAATGATGACAGCTACAGGGCAGAGAAGCATAACCACACAGCAAATAAAGATCATCCTTTCAAAGGTCAACGTGTCCGTGCAAGAGAGAGGGAGAAGGGAAGGAACATCGCAGAAAAAGTGAGGTATTTCCCGGGCACCACAATAGGAAAAAGATAATGTGGCTGCAACTTCAATTATGCCATCAAGGGAGCCAAGAATCCAGGAAGCAGCTGCCATGAGAGCACAGACTTTCTGGCTCATCAGAACGGGGTATCTTAGTGGGTGGCAAATGGCCACGTAACGATCATAGGCCATTGAGGCCAAGAGGAAACATTCGGCACCAAGTAGAGTCACGTAGAAGAATATCTGGGTGCCGCAACCTGCCAGAGAGATGGACTTGTTGCCAGACAAGTAGTTAAAGGCCATCTTGGGCACCGTGGTACATATGAGCGTGAGATCCATGAGGGAGAGTTGACTGAGGAAGAAGTACATGGGGGTGTGGAGCTGCCTGTCCAGGTAGATGAGGAGAACCATGGTTGAGTTTCCCAGGAGAGCCAACATAAAGATGCAGAAAACGACAGAGAAGAGCAACGTGTGAATGGGGCTGTGATCGAAAACTCCTAGCAGGATGAAGTCAGAGTTGAAAGTCCAGTTTCCCCAAGCCATGGTGAATGCGACTGTGGATACATACAGTGACTGAGAGATTACTAAGACATTACAGCACACAATATCCAAGATTTCCCTCTCTATGAAGTTGGGAAAACAGTGCAGAAATACTTTGTCTGGGCCTCATTTCTTTTTGTTAATGAGTGATAGCCATGCTTACTTTTAACTTGATTTGGCCTTTAAAGGCAAATGAATAGCAATAGTTTTTTCTAAGTAAGAGCCTATCTGTTTTCTTTTTTTTTAAGTCATGTAATCTAGCTCCAGTATGGAACCAACCCAGATGTCCCTCAGTAGATGAATGGATCAAGAAAATGTGGTATATATACACGATGTAAGTCTATGCCTCCATCAGAAAGAATGACATTGCACCATTTGTTAGGAAATGGAAAGACTTGGAAAAAATTATATTATGTGAAGTAAGCCAGGCCCAAAGAAACATAGGTCCCATGGTTTCCCTTATTTGCAATAACTAGTATATGTCTGAGACAAGCAGAAAAGGTCAGATAAGTTGATGTTAGGCACAATGAACCCCAAGATAAGGACTCAAATGGTTTTTCTTTCTTTCTATCGTTTCTAACATATTTATAAGATGATTTCTTTGTTGCTTTGTATGTCCCTCCCCCACGGTATAACCTGTTTTCACTGTATTTGATGTTGGTATAATTTGTAGAGGGGAAGGGAACAAACAAATTGTTTAAATAGGGATACAGGTGGACCCATTGCAACAATGAGATGTAACCATCAGTTGAAATGGACCTTACAACTTTGGGGGGGGATGTAGTCATGGAGATTGGAGAGCAGGGATGGTAGGGGAAAAACAGAGGAGGCAAAAATGCTTGATAACAAATATACTCATTACCTTGCTCATGTAATTGTAAGCCCTCTGTACGGTATTTTCACCAAAAAAGAATAAAAAAAGTAAACCAAATGTGTAATATAGATCATAGATCATCCTTTGACAAACACACTTAGAATGAAGCAATTACTCCTAGTTTTGGGAATGCCATGGTACTTACCATATCAAACTGTGGTGCTAGAAAATGCCTGTCTATAAAATTTTGGATGAAAACGTGCATTAAAATTATAGTTGGTTAGAAAATAGATAAATTGATAAATAGATATTACCAAAAATAGATAAATTAGGTTATCGACATCATACATATGTTAATAAATATTTGATGATTATAATGAAAAGCCACTGTGAAAGCCTGTCCTAACCAATGTATACTTCTCTGTGTTCATCATAAAATCTTGAGTGAATCCATGAAATAATCTACTGCAGGTCTTTTACCTGAATAAACCTGGTAAGAGGGGAATGTAAAGCATGATTCAATACTTTTTTATAAATTAGCTTATCTGTGTAAAATAAGGAAATTATTAATTTCTTAAGCTTTGTATATTCCTCTCCATAAATATAGACATAGATAATAGCTATACTTCTTATGAATGTTAAATAAAATCATAATTATAAATAATTAAGTGATATCTGGTATATATTTGGATATTAATTAAATTCAATTGGCAGTTATGTAGTCTTTTTATACTTCATCTTGAGATTCATATAGTTGATGAAACATAAACATTTTAACTTCTTTTGAAAGAATATTGGAGCAACTCAGAAGTAAAGTTCAAGTATCATGTTCAGAAGCACCTAGATTTGATCCTGTATCCACACATAGAGGGAAAGTATTTCTGTTTTGTTAAAAAGTGACATTTATTTTCCTCTGTTTTGCTTCCTTATTGCTTCTTTTTCAATGAAATATTTGATGCCTCCCTTAATACTATATGAGAAAAATGTATTACTTGTTTTGTTTTTATTTTACATTTTACATTTTGTTCTTCCAAACTCTTTTTCAGTCTTTAATAATTCTGTGCACATAACATTTCATTATAACTAAGAATTTTACCACATCCTAAATTCACAATCAGCTCAATATTCTCTGAGAGTTTTTCTTTATTACACTTATCAATAAGATCTATCCCTAAGCCATAAGCCATACACACACACACACACACACACACACACACACACACACACACACACATATTGTTTTTTATTCTTTCACGATTCCCAAAGAACTGCTAGTCATATTTTATTTTTATTTGCTTTAATTTTACTTAACACACTATAATATCTATATGACAAGTAAACTTTGGATTTGTTTATATATTTGATTAAATCCCAGTCAAAGCAAGTTTGTCTCTTTCCTCAAACTTTTAAGGTTTCTTCCTTTCAAGAACATTCAAAAATGATTTCTTCTACATTATTAATGTAGAATTCATTAGCCTCATCTATGTGTTCCATATGGATGGAAGGGGAGCAAGGTCATTTTTTAAGTGAAATAAGACAAGCTCAGAAAGACAAGTGCCATCACAAGACTCATGTAGAATCAAAGACTGTTGTTCTTTTAGATAATGAGAGCAGAATGGTAGTTTCCAGAAGCCAGGGAGAGTGAGGGAAAGGGAAGTTTGGTCTATAGGCACTATGACAATGGATAATATATTTCAAAAACTTGTTCATGGCTGAACTTAATAGAAGCCAGAATGCTTTGATTATTGGAGTTTCCTCCTCTCTTCAGTCTTACCTGCTTTATGTCCGCAAAAATTCATGCTGCTCACAGGTTAAGAGAAAGATTTTAAATGGTGTTACTGAGAAGCATTTGGCTATGTCACCTGTGAATTGATGTTGCAATGTCACGAGGGAGCTGAGTCCCTAGTGTTCAATTATAGTGCTGTAGGTTATCATGCAATTTTTCTCCTAGGACTTGATACAACATTTTTCATTTGATAACATTATGTTATTTAACATAAACAAGTTATTTTCATTTTTTGACAAATAACAAGCACCCAAAATTTGTTTCTTCTATCTTCTTGTCATTTATATGTTAATATTCCACTTTGGCTTTATTTTGTGTCTCATTATTTGTTTGTTTATCTATTTATTGTAATTTTGGAGGCTGAACCCAGGCTCCAGCATACGCTAGGCAGGTGTTCTACGACTTGAGCTTCATTCCTACTTCCTATCCCATGTGATTCTATTTTGCCTTTGAGATGAGGCAGCACTAATTTTGCGAGGACTGACCTTGCATCGCATATCTGAAGCACATTCTGAGACATTGAGTTTACAAGTGTATGTGCCCATACCCTGTTTCACATTTCAAAAATCTTGATTAGCTTATATTATAAGCTTAAGGGGAAAGGAGGCAATTGTGTTTCTCATTTTTAATTAAAGTTACATCCACACCTTCTATGTTTTAATATCTACATGTAGAACTTTATTAAAATTTACTAATTACTTTCATACTGGACAATCAAGGGGTGCTATCTTGGTACCGTGAGGCTGATTTTCCCACACAGGCATTTCTACATTATTGTAAATTTGTCCATATATAGAAACTTAGTATTTGTAACTATTTACTGTATTATTTTTGATTTGTATTTTCAACTGATGTTTTTGTTTGTATTATTCTACTAGTTTTATTGTAATTATGTTCCTATATCTTTATAAAACACATAGAGGGAAGGATCAAACTATTTTTAATTTCTCTCACATTTCACACAATACAACCCATTTGATATCAGAACATTATTCCTCCATATTCTGTTTGCATATTAATTTAAGTAAATTTTGTATGCTTTCCCTGATGATTCTTTTCTCTTAATCAAATGGTTGTGTTTGCTTACAAAATGAAATTTTATCTTTCTCAACACTACATGTGTTTATACCATGATCTATGTTTGGACCCAATGATTTCTTTATATGCTTCTAACAAGATTAGATAATACATAGAAAGATAATTCTTTATATGCTTCTAACAAGATTATATAATACATCGAAAGATAAAGATAACATACAGACAAATTATGTCTATAAGCCCAGCAGAGCACCTATGTCAGAAATTATATTCCGTATTGTTTCAAACTTGTCCATAAATACAATGTTTTTTTGGAAGTACTAGTTTTTGATATTTTAGTTATGTTTCAGTAGTTTATTTGATTGAGGTTTTCATAATATGAAGATGAAGATATTATTGACATGCCCAGTCTATGTAAATATAGATAGAAAAACAGAGGAGAGAAAGAAAGATCTTCATGTACGTCCCAACTGTTTCTAAATTAATAATCAGCCATTACATGACAACATGAAGATCTGTGCTAGGTTTTTTAAATGAGTGCTTTCTTTGTTCAAGTCATTCGGTAAACATTAGAGATAAAAAGTTATATCAACTTAAGCTACTAGGTTTGGGTGTGTTTAAAATGTAACAAAGCACAATATGCACCAAATATGAAATGGAAAGACTCGAAAAAATTTTATTAAGTGAAGTAAGCCAGGACCAAAGAAACATAGCTCCCATGGTTTCCCTTATTTGCAATAACTAGTATATGTCTGAGACAAACAGAAATTTTCAGACAGGTTGATGTTAGGCGAAATGAACCCCAAGATAAAGATTCAAATGTTATAAGATGATTTCATGTTACTTTGTATGTCCCTCCCCCATGGTATAACCCCTGCTTTCACTGTATTTGATGTTGGTATAATTTGTGGAGAGGAAAGGAAAAAACAAATTGTTTAAATAGGGATACAGGTGGACCCATTGCAACAATGAGATGTACAAGACATTATGTAGAAAAACGAACTTTACAACTTTGGCAGGGGGTCGGGGGAGGTGGGGGTAGGAAGGAGGGAGTGGGGGTTGGGGCGGGGTGGGGAGAGGGGAAGGGATAGGAAGGGGAAACAAAGGAGGAGGCAACAATGCTTGATAAAAAATGTACTCATTATCTTGCCCATGTAATTATAACCCCTCTGTATGGTATTTTCACAATTAAAAAAAAGAAAACATAAAAAAAGTAGATTCTTAATTTTTAGAGCCTATACATAACTCCTACATTTTTAGCTTATTTTTAGTTTTTTAACTTATTTATACGTCTGGTTTGATTTTTCTTTTTTGTACATGTTTTATTAGCAGTTAAAATAGTTCACATTATAGTGCCCCTTTCAA